CAGGCACGCCGTGGCAGAGCAGGGGGCTGGACAGGGCACGATGGGTGGATGAAGGATGCAGGGGGACTATTATGGCCACCCCTAAATAAGCCACTCGGGTGTGAATTCGAGCCCTGTGCCTGCTGCTTCCTTGCTCCCGGGTGCTTGCAGCCGCCTTGCGTAAGAGCTGGTGACTTCGGTAGGCCTGTGGGGTGAGTAACACTTGCACGCCCTCGCCGTGATGGCAGAAGGGTGAAGAGCTGCCTCTCCGGGCTGCGACCGCTCTGGTAGGACTCGTTTGTCACCTCTTGAGCTTGTTTAACCCCTGTCAGCTCTTTGCGCCGGGATGAAATAACCCGTTTGCTGCCCGGGCTGGAGCCCTGTGCCTGTGTCCTTCCCGCACCCTGATGGCCCCCCCCACGCTTCAGGAGGGAACGGTGGCCTCGTTGGTAAGTGGCCCTCTTGGCTCCTCGGCAGTAGGCCAGGAGATGGTGTCCCTTCAGGACCCCGGGGCCAGCGTCCTCGGGACGAGCGGGGCCCAGTGGCAGGGTCCTGTACCCCGTGGCTGTGGGCAGGGCTTTGCCTGGTGCTCCCGGCAGCAACCAGCGGTGGGTCACCGGAGGCTGCCACACGGACAGCTTGCTTGGAGCCACGGGTGATCATCTCCTGCCAGCCCGGGAAGAGCCACAGCATCAAGCCTCGCCATGGCTGATCTCGGCCCAGCCTCGGACCTGCCCAGCGACATAAACCCTTGGCCAACAGCCTCAACCTTCTGGCCAGGGATGGGCATGGCATGGAAAGCGCAGCGGAGCTGCTCTACCCCCGCAACACCCCAGCTGAGGGCAGGTGATGCTGCTTCAAAAGAGGGACCCGAGGCAGGAGGATGCTGTTGGTGGGCTGGAGGGGAGCCTGGATACCCCCACCTGTCCCCTCCAACCTGCTGCAAGATGAGTGCCATCGGGAGGCTTTGGTCCCCCGTGAATCTTCTCCGTTCTGGGTCACCTCTCCGCACCGGAGCTCCGGGGAGGCTCCTGTCCCACCAGAAGGTTTCAGCACACATGCAAGTACCCTTCTCTTGCTTTCGGGTGCCCGGTGCTTCGGGCAGGGCGGGACCTCAGGAAGCATTAAATAGCTGCTGGATGCGTCACGGCAGCAGCAGCTGATCCGGGGCGGTGAGTCAGGGCCGGCCTCCAGTGCTCCGGCGGGCAGGATGGCAGCATGGGGCCTCTCCTCCCCTCCCCTCACCGCTTGCTGTTTACTCATGTATTGTGGTTTTTTTTACTTTTTTTTTTTTTTTTCTTTTTTACTTTTTACATACCCGGCGCCCAGCCAGGGCTGGGCAAAGCGAGGGAGGCGAATGAACCCCCCAAAAATGGGTAAAGCCTCAGTGCTTGGATGGATGCTTGGCTCAAAGCCTTCCTATTGCCCCAGATGGTGCCAGTTAGGAGCTCTAGTAGAGGTGTTTGGGATGCAGCTGAGAGGCTTTTGGGATGCAGCAAGATTTAGGTTGCAACAGGCCTTGCTGCTGGGTGCAAAATTGATGGGGTTTTTTCCTAATGGGATTTTTTTTTTTGTCCTTATGTGTGTCAAAACGTGGGAGAAAGGCACTTGTGAAGTGTTTGCAATCCTTGGCTGGAAGGTGCTGTCTCAGCTTCTGAGAGTCCCTGTGGGGGACACGGGGTAGGGTGGGGGTCCCCTTCCTTAAGGAGGGTGACTGGCCGGTTTTCTTGGCTGTCTGTGTATTATTTCAGGTCCAGGGAGATCACCAAACCCTTGCGAGTCCCGGCAGCCATCAGGATGGTGGTTTGCAGGAGCTATGCAAAACCTGCATCCTCCTGCACATGCAAAAATGCTCCTTCATCTCCTCTTCCTTTAGCCCAACAGCTTCAGGGAGGCTGGGAGATGGCAGCGCTGGGAAACAAAATAAAGCTACAAGATCTGAGATTGTTAATTTAAAAAAGAAAAAAAAAATTTATTATTTTTTTTTTTAATGTCAGCATTCAAAATTCCAGCTCCCAGTTAGGAAATTTGTCGAAGTTGTCGCATGACTCATCCCTACCCTCAACTTTAGGACCCATTGCATGGGGAAGGGAGCAGAAAATTAGGCACTTTGCTAATCTGCTTCAAATAAAAATGATTTAGAATTTAGAAATCCGCACCAGTGGGAAATACGAATAAAAGGAGAGCGGCTTTTGGGAGCAGCCGTGAGGTGTGATGGGGCCCGCAGCCACCTGCTCCCTTCTCTGGGCTGTTTTCGGGGCAGGTGGCGGGGCCTGGCAGCTACCGGCACTTCTGCTCCGTGATCAAAGTGACCTCCGAGCGAGAATACAAACAGAGGCAGCTGGAAACCAGCCTCCTGCCAAGACACGCATTTTCCCCAAGAAAAGTGGTTCGCACCCCAAAAAAAAAAAAAAAAAAAAAGCCTTTTTTGCTACCTGGTGGTGTAACGGAGGCACACCCTAATTAAAGCAGGGCTTCGGCAGCAAAGCTTGGGGAGAGCGGGGTCATATTTGCAAGTGGAGGGATGAGACCACCCCCGGGCTGCTGATTTTTTTTTTTTTTTTTTTTTTAAGAATGATGGTGAAGGGCTACAGCGGGGGGCGAGGTGGAGGTTTGGGGATTTGTTGCCTGCTGGCTTTCGGGGTGGGTGTTTCTGAGCCGGGGCGATGCCGGCGCGGTGGGATACGTGGGACGAGGCGCTGCGTGCACGTTGTGATGTCCCACCCAGCAGGGAGTGGGGGGTGCGAGGAGCACCCCTGTCCCACCCCCAGCTGAGGGTGAGCATCTTCATCCTCTCAGCTTTGGGGGAAGAGGGGCAGCCGGGCTGGTTTTGGGTGGGCGGGGGGAGCTCATCCTGCCCTGGGAAGGAGTGAGGAGGGCAGGCAGGGGAGGGAGCAGCCCCCAGCCCTATTTACCACCCCTTTGCAAGGGGACGTAACCTCCCGTATCCGGCAGCAAGCTGGGGATGTTGACCCCCCCCCAAAAGCCCCAGGGGTTACGGTGAGCGATGGGTCAGCGGGGACCTCCCTGCGCTTGGCAAGGATTTAAGGAAATCCTATTAAAAATGACTAGATTTTTGAACCCCGGGCGGGTGCCTGGGCCCAGCGTGCTGGCAGCCGCCGGCGTCTGGGGCAAGGTGAGGCTGCGCGACGCCACTCAACCGGCTGGGTGGTTTGGTTTTTTTTTTTGTTTTTTGTTTTTTGTTTTTTTTTTAATTCTGATTTATTTTTAAGCTCCCGGCCTCCCCGCGGGGTCGGGGCAGGGGAAGCCAGGTTCTGTGCGCGCCGGGCCCCTGGCCAGGGTTGGGGTGGTGTTCCCTGGGGTGCTTTGTCACCCCAGATTTGGCGTTGGGGTGCCACGGGGAGATGGGGGGGGGGACACACAGGACGCAGTGGCTTCGGGATGAGCTGGGTGGTGCCACGGCAGCGCCTGGACTTTGTTCCACGCAGGGGCCGGTCGCAGCCTTGAACGCACAAGGCGGGGGGGGGAGCGGTGCCAAAACCCAGCTTTGGAATTGAAATTGGGCTGAACCTTGTGAATTTTAGTGGGTTTGGGCACTCGGGGGTGGGTCGGCGGAGCCTGGGGTGCCCTTCGGCCCCACTGGTTTTCCCCGGCTGCCCAGCCAAGGCAAACATGAGCTCAGCGCTGAGGTATTTGCGGCGGCCGCTCCGTGCCCACGTTTTGGAGGTAGACGGGGGGGTGGCACCAGTGGGACCCAGGACCCACTGGGGAACGTGTCTTCCCCAGCTTCTCCTTGCCTTTCTCCCACCGTGGCTAAAATCCCTCGTCGCTGGAGGCAGGACCCCCTTGAGCCCTGCCTTTGATTACTCAAGCAGGCAACAAAAAATAAGCGAGAAGTGGTGCTGAGCCCGAGGTCAAGCTTTCTCGCAGCCCGGCTGCAAACTTGGAAGAGCTGGAGCTGAGGGATGGCGGGGCTGCGACCGGCCAGGGAAATGGTTTGGGACCCTCTGAACGGAGGGCCTGGGAGTTTTCTGTATACATTCCTCTGCCCGGGGTTTTCAGACAAGCCTAATTCTGGAAAAAGTGGTGTTATAGGGGGGGGGGAAAGATACACCTTTGTTTGCATGGTGTTTGAAAACGCTGTAAGCTCAAATATTTGAGTTCTTTATGGCTTGCGCTTAGTTTCTTTTTTTATTATTATTTTTTTCAAGACTGTCACAGTTGTTGAGCTACTGGAAGAGGCAGGAGTTGGGTGTGCCTGGGCTCATGAGTGTTATTTTAAGGCAGAAGAAGTAACTGATGGGTGGGAGTCAGGTTGGGCCTCGGTCTTAGGTAGAGCATCCCCAGGAGTCTGGGCTTTTCCATGGGCTTTTGTGCCTGGCTCCCCCACCTTTGGTCATGTTTTTGTGCAGGAAGAGGCTTTATTTTAATTTCTTAATCCATCTCTGGTAAATTGAAATGGAAGTAAATAGATTAAAATGTGCGTTATCTGCACCTTTTCTCAATATCCTGTCACGAGGGTGGGCAGCCAGTGGTTTTCTCTGCCTTTTCCAATATTTTTTTGGAAACTCCCCCAGTGCTGCGCCTCCAAATTGTCAGAGAAATCACAGTGAAAGTCCAGCAAGCCTATTAAAAGTCTGCACTCGCAGCAGAAAAAAAACGAGCATCATCTTCCAGGTACCGTGCAGGCACGCGAAGCCCATCATTTCCTACCACAGGAAGATTTGGGCCAGCTGACCAGACATGAGCAAGAAAAAAAAAAAAAAAACAAAAAACAAAAAAACAAACAAACAGTTTTGTGGGGTTTCTTGGGTTTTTTTGTTGGGTTGTTTTTTTTTTTTTGAGATGAACATCAGTGTTTTATTAATATCAACAAAAATGCAATCCGTGCACAAGGAGGAGAGCCACGGAGCTGGATGGAAGGTGGCGGTGAGCTTGGTCTAGGGTGCACCTTACGGGGTGCTGGTATTAAAGATGGTTTAACGACACTGTTCTTGAGGTGTCTCATATTCCTCGTTAGCGGCTCGGGATGGAAACCTGGTTTCTTTTCTCCCTGCAAGGCAGCCTGTGCTGCGATGACCTAGCGTGCCTGAGGCCCAGCAGCCGCGGGGATGGAGCTGAAGGTCTGGGTGGATGGGATCCAGAGGGTCGTCTGCGGCGTCTCGGAGCAAACCACCTGCCAAGAAGTGGTCATCGCCCTGGCACGGGCCATCGGTGAGCCATCCCCATCCCCTGGGGGGGTGCCCCTATTGCAGGCAGAGGCGTCTGCCAGATGGGGTGCCCCGTCTGCGGGGGCTGCTTGGGAAGAGGAGACCTTGTCTGGGTGGGGGTCCTGCTTTGGGGTGGGGGGGGTGGTGGGGGGGGGGGGTGTCAGCGCTGCTGGCCGCGGCTTCCCTCATCTGAGGCACTCGCCTCCCTCCCGGCAGGTCAGACGGGCCGCTACGTGCTGGTGCAGAAGCTGCGGGAGAAGGAGCGGCAGCTCCTGCCGCTGGAGCGTCCCTTGGAGTCGCTGGCCAAGTGCGGGCAGTACGCCAACGACGTGCAGTTCGTCCTGCGGCGGACGGGCCCCAGCGTGGCCGAGCGGCCCTCCTCCGAGGGCGCCCCCCAAGCCCCCGAGAGGACGTTCATCCGGGCCAGCTTGCCCATCAAGCCCAGGCACGCCAGCGCGGATGCACCCCGTTCCCAGGAGCCCAAAAAATCCATGACTTTCAACTTGGGTCCTACAGGCTCGGGTGACCTGTTCGCCGTGAGCCGCTGGAGGCACCAAGCGCGGGAAGGGGTGGACTTGGAGGGCGGCGGGGTGGTCCAGCCCTCCAAGGAGGAGCTGTTTCGGAGGGTGTTGAGGCAGCAGGAGCAGCTGCATTCCTTGGAGGCCCATGGGGACACCCTGGAGACGGACCTGCGGCTCTGGGAGCGCAGCCGGCTCGCCGGCCAGGAGGACGAGATCCTCTACCTGGAGCACCTGGTGCGGAGGAACGAGACGGAGCTGGGAGAGGAGGAGTTCTGGCAGAGCGAGCTCCGGTTGGAGAAGGAGTGCGAGCGGGAGCGGCAGGAGCGGGTTAGGAGCCTGCGGGCCAGCCTGGAGGAGTACACCCAGAGGATCTACGAGCTGAGCGCCCGGACCGAAGCCCTGCAGGAGGAGATCCAGTGGGAGATGGCCGAGAGGGCCAAGAGGGGGAAGGAGACCCCTGCACCCAGCCCCACAGAACTGGAGGACATGGCCACCAAGATGAAAAGGGACCTGGAGGCCAAGGTCAAGCAAGGCACCCAGCTGGAGAGCAACCTGGCCAGCGTGGAGAAGGCCCTGGAGGAAGCTGAAAGGAACCTGCAGGTAGGTAGGACTGGGTCGAGCAGCCCCACGGGTGCTGGAACCTTTGGGAGGGGTTGGGACCGGCTTCCCCCAGCAGCGTGGGGGCCACTGGGTTGAGTGGGGTTGGTCCTGCCCCACCTGACCGGGGGGGTGTGGGGCTGGGTGCACGGGGGTAGCTCGGCAGCAGTGACTGCTGTCGGGGGGACCCCGCGCTGCTCGTACCCGGCCAGCGCAGGGGCCCACACCCGTGGCTCCCTGCGAAGCTGCGTCTGGGCTGGGGCTCCTGCGGGCGATGGGAGCGCAGCGTGACCCTGCTTTGGGCCGGGACGACGGTGTTGGGGCACATTGGTCCGTGTGTGGAGAGGCAGTGGCATCAGCACAGATTGCTGTTGTCTTGGATAAAGGAGTCGTGGAGGGGGGGGGCGGGGGGGTGTAGCGTAGGTCCCCGTGCACGAAGCCTTTTGACCGTGCAAACTGTGCAGGGGCTCAGGCTGATGGCGGGGGACTGTGTGGTGATGGAGCTGGCAGCCGTGGGGCTGAGCCATGATGTCCCCCCCGTGCCCATCCCAGCGTCAGGGGGTCCAGGCAACACCCGCCCTCCCCACACCGGGTCCGAAAGGGAGAAGCTTTTTCCCAGCCGGGCAGCAGCAGCTGCCCTTCCCCAGGCTGGGGGTGGCCGTGCTTCCAGCAGCAGCTCGTCTTGAGCATCTCCTGCGAGCCGGGCATCTCCCAGCACCTCGGCAGCCACCGTTTGACGGGTGCTCGCACCCTCTTGTGGAGACGCAGCAAAGCAGGGCTGTTCCCAAAACCAACGCCCTCCTGGGCCCCGCAGCCCGGGGCACCCCGCTTCCCGCAAGCCTCTGGAGAGGGGTGGCTGAGCCACGGTACCCCCGAGGTGTCCCCCCCCCTCCCCCCGGCTCTGGCCGGGTGAGCCCCAGCTGGGGGAGCAGCCCTGGGGATGGGGGGGGGGGGGGAGATGGGGGGGGATGCCAGCTGGTTTTGGGGCACGGGGCGGGGGGACACGCAGCTCACCCTGTCCCCGCCCTCGGTGTGTGTTTTGCAGGCCCAGACCCAAGAGCTGGAGGAGTTAAATAAGGAGCTGAGGCAGTGTAATTTGCAGCAGTTTATTCAGCAGACGGGGGCCACGGTGACCGTCCTGCAGGCCAGGTCCGAGGAGGACGCCCAGCCGGAGCCGAGCCCCTGTGAGCTGCCAGCCTGCCGGAGAAACGGAGGTCAGCACGCCACCGCCGGCTCAGCCGCAGGGGGGGCTGCTCCGCGGGACCCCTGCCCGCTCCCTGCCTCCCCCTCCAAGGGGGTCGGCACCCCCTCCAAGGGGGTCTGCCCCAAAGCTGGCCGGTTCCACCCCAGGCGCTGAGGTTAGGCAGCAGGGATGGGGTTTCAGCGCTGGCACAGCAGTCGCTCACCACCCCAGCGGGGCGGGGGGGTCTCTGAGGTTTGCCAGCCCCCAGGGCTCCTTCCTCCTCCAGCTGCCCATAAGCTCTTTGTGTTTGGCGAGGGAAGGGCGAGCGTGGTGCCCAGGGCCACATCTGTGTCCTCACAGGGAGGAGAGGAGGTGAGGGGGGGGGGCTGCTTCTCATGGAATGGGACGGAGGAAAATGGGGACCAGGCCGTTTCTCCTCCGGAGCACCCGCAGAGCATTGACGTGGCTGCCCCATGGGAAGCGCGAGCCCCGCCTGAGCCAGGCGTTTTTTTTTTCCTCATCCCACAGGTTTTCCTCCCGCTGCCAGCACAGACTCGCCTCTCCGGGCCAGCACCAAGCAGCTCCTCGGCCATCCCAGGACCCTCCCGGAGCCCCTGGTGCCCAGCCTGAACCCCGAGGGTGCGTACGTCCCGCCGGCCCCCGAGCCGCGCTGGGGGGGAGCGGAAAAGAGGCTTTTGCTGCCCGAAGCGGGCTGCAGAGAGCGAGCGTGCGCGGGGAGCGGGAGGCTGGAGCTATTTATAGATGCCGTGAGGAAGAGCGAAGCTTCCAGCCCGGCAGCCCCTGCGCTGCTGCCAGGGGCTCGCGCGCTGGCGGTCCAGCTCTGCCCGCCCGTGAGCTGCGGAGGATGCTCCTCAGCCCCCCCCCGCCCTGCACCCCCCAGGGCTGAGACCTTGCCGGCGTTAAAACAAGGAGGATTGGGCTTCCACCTTTTACAGGAGTCCCTTTTGCTCCACCTTGGGGACCTGTACCCCCCAAAGCCCTTGCCACCTCCCGTGACCCTTTTTCCAGGGTCCCGTTCCCACTCGTGCCGCCCTCCCCTCAGCAAAACCCATCCCCACCTCGCCGGGTATCTGCGGCATCAGCACGTCCGTCTCCCAGCCCGGGCTTCGCGCTCGCCTGTGTCCTGTTTTCCGTTCCACTTTTCGCAAGCGCTCGCCCACCGGGATGGGGTTGGTTGCTCAGGTTGTTTTCATCTTGTTTTGCAGTCGTATCAGCCAGGCAGAGCATCTGGAGGTAGAAGGGCCTGGCCAGCGGAGGAGCAGCCTTGCAAGAGTAACTGTATAAATAAACCATATTATATATATATATATATATATATATATATATTTTTTTTTTTTTTTTTTTTTTTACTGCTTTATATCGTGAATGGATGTGGACAGCCAGAGTATTTTTACAGACTGTAAAATAAAACCAGAGACTGACAATACAAAGCAACCCTCGTCCCCTGTGGATGGAAGCGACCCCCTTCTATTTTTTTGAAGTGCTTTCCGTATTCAACAGAAAACCACGGCGCTCCTGTTCTGCATGGTCTCCTCAAAAGCCCCGCCGTGCGTTCGGAAGAGACCTCGCTCCTTTGGTTAGTGGAGCGAAGCTGCGGTGGGGACCTGCCTGGAGGCTCGCCGGGATGGAGCAAGTTAACGGCTTTTACAGCATCTCGCCGCAGCCGGCGGGGCCGTGACCAACAGCCTCTTCGCTGGCTGCGGGGGACACACGAGAGCAGCTTTAAGACAAATTCCAGCCCCCTGCTTTTTTTTATGATTATAAGAAACCTGTAGTAGAAACCCCCTTTCCACGGTGCCACAGACCAGGCTTCGAGGGAGCGGGGAACAGGCAGCGGGGGCTTGTTTTTTCTTAAATCCACTTACTTTTTCAACTTGTTTTTAAAATAAAAAAAAAAAATAAATCAGAGAATGAGCTCTTCCCAGGCGGCGGAGCGGGTGGGGAGCAGGACCAAAGCACTCTGGGTGACATTTCACTGATGTTTTACTTGATGGCCAGTAGTTACTCTTGGTTTTTGTTCATCTGTCCCGGTGGGTCGCCTTGTATTTTAACTGCGAAACCAAAGTGGTTTGGGGAGGGGATGGGTTTGTCCAGGAGGTCCCTGAGCCCGTTTTCAATGTGTCATATGCAAAAAATGTGACTCGGGCAAAGCGTTCGCCGTTAAACCCTGCTGTCCCTGTATGAATGTAATCCTGTGTGCCGCAGTTTCAGTTTTCAATAAATCTTTGGGAAAGGATTTGAGCAAAGCGAGCGTGAGCGTGCTGTTGTGGCCCAGGGCGAGCCGTGCCGGCCGGCTTCTGGGCCGGTGCCCGATGGGCACGTCCCAGCCCTTTGCGCACCCCACGGCCGCCTCTTTCATTTCCAAACCATCTCTTTTCACTTGCCAAATTAAAGCTCAAAGTATTTCTTGACTGAATGCATCTTACGCACACGCTGTTCTCTCTTTTTTTTTTTTTAATTTTTTTTTTTTTTTAAATCGCAAAGTGCTTTACAACCAGCCGATGAAGCTTGTCTCTGGTGAGAGGGTGGCTGTCTCTGGGATGAAACGTGGCAGCATTGTAATAATACACAGCAGCAGCTCAGAGCATTTTAGGAGAGAAGGGGATGGTGCTCAGCTGCAGATGGGAAGGAGCAGGTAAGGGGGAAACCTTCCATTTGCTTTCAAGCCCTTCCATCTGCACACGGAGAACCAGGAGCGAGAGGGCTGGCTTCTTGCTCTCCATCAGCATCTCCCCCCCCCCGAGACTTGGCTGTGCTCTGCTCCCCAGGGACGTGCCCCTCTCGGAGCCGATTCTCAAGGTGCCACCGCAGCTCAGCAGGTTGCTCAAGTGGGGCTGAAGGATTCAAATTTGCTTCGGTGGGAGAGTGCTGATGGAGCCGCCGCGCCAGTTACGACTGGAGAGTTGCCACAGTGGGGAGATGCAATTTCGGAGGGGTCTTTTTTTTGAATCAGGGTGGGCATTTTGGGGGCTTTGTTTGGTTGGTTCCCCCCCCCCCCGCCCCCTTAGATCGCATACCTTGGGGAAACTGAGTGAAAAATACATTTGCTCCACGCAGCTGCATGAAGGAGTTTCTCCCATGCTTGCTTTTTGCGCTTCTTGCACTCATGCTTTGGACACTCTTGCTTTTAAAATGAGACTCCACCTTGCTAAGAAGAGAAGCAGAGGGTGATGCAGGCTGTAAGGAGCATTTCACTGGTTCCTGGGAGGAAAAACAGTCAAAAAGCAGGCTCAGAAAACATGCTTGCCTTGGACACCGCCAGATTTTGGGATGTTACGTGAAGTCCCCCACGTGCCCTGAAAAACTGACCTCTGCAGGTTAAAAACTGGATCTTTCAGAAAACTGGATCTTTCAGTTTTGCGGCTGCATTTGTAGCTTTGCCTTCTGCGAAATAAATGGGAATAAAGAGAAGAGAGTCATCGCTTACGGCACCTCCGTCAGGAAAAAAAGGGGCAGAAAATTAATTCGAATCTCCGATTTTGTATGGGATTTTTGCCCTGTGCTTCTGCCTATATGTTATTTATTATTTTTGCAGGTTATTTCTGTTCAGCCGTGATCTGACAGGCCAAACCAGCACCAATCTTTCTGTGGGGTGGGGCAAGGGGGAAAATAAGGGTTTCAAAAACATCCGTCTGGGCAGATTTTGGCCCCGCAGCTGATGCGCCTCGGCTGGGAGGCAGGATTTGGAACCGCTGCGTAGGCTGGGGACAGTGTCCCCGGCGGGGGTCAGGCAATCGGGTGTGGGGCTGGGGAGAGCACCGTGGCCGGGGGCTAACGCTGCTGCTTCAGCTCAGGGCTGTGGCATTTTGCAGAATTTTTTTTTCTTTTTTTTTTTTTTTTTGGCGTTTTGTGTCCTATAAGCCATTAGCCATCACCCAGCTGCTGCCAAGGCAGCGGTGTTTTGTAAGGTAATAAATGACTTTGATTAACACCTCTCCCCCTGCCACGAGGCACACTGCAGCGGGGGAGAAGTGTTAATCAAACTCATTAATTACCTGAGGAAACTCCCCACCCGTGGGTGACCTATATTCCCCCTGGCACGAGGGGCGTGCAATGGCCCCGCAAGCAGGCAGGTCCCCACGCTTTATTTAACCGAGCGAGGCCCGAGACCCGCTCTGGCTCCCCCCCCCGCCTTCCCGCTTTTATCTGCTCTAAAGGCTGTGTCAATAATACATTTCTGCCATTGAATATTTTATTGATGGTTTGACTTTTTTTTGCTGCTCACAATTCCCATTTCAAGGCTGCGTGATTGTTCCTAATTAAAATTTTATGCCCTGGGAGAAGCCTTCTTGCTACAGTGGAGACGACGCTGTCCTTTTCTAGGCCACTACAGAGCAGTAGGAAGGAATTACTCATTGTTATGAGATTAAATCAAAGCAAATAAATTACTGTTTTTCCCTTAAAAAGCAAACCAAACGCCCAGCGTACGGCACCTACTGGAGAGGGCACAACTGCCCGGCGGGCACGGCAGGGATCCGAGCGTGCCGGGCAGCTCGAGGCCGCTGCGCCTGGGCGAGCGGGAGTGGGCTGGGGGGGCTTCTCCCTCCTCCGACGCTCCTCACCATCGGCCCCAGCGCCACCCAAAAACCACGAAGCAGAGGATACCTGTTTTGCACTGGCAAACAGTCCCAGCTTCCTTTTTTTTTTTTTTAAAAAAAAAAAAAAAAATCTGCAAGCTACCTGCGGGCTCTGTCAGCACAAGGCACCATTCAGGAGAGTAATTCAGCCACCTCCAGCCTCCCTGGGGCTTTTCTCCTCGCTGCACTACCTGATTATTTATTTATTTTTTAAATATTGCATAAGAAAAATGGCTCCCAGCTCCTCACCCATCCACCCGGGCCCGCGCTGGCTCGCCAGGCCAGGCATCCTCCGCAGATGGTGGTCAGGGTGCCGGCGCTGCCCCGAGGGCAGTGCAGCCACAGACACCTGGAACAGCCTCGATTCGCAGCTGTGGATTTGTACGGGTCGCTCAGTGTTTGGGTTTGGTTTCTTCCGCCCTCCCCTCCACCTTCCCCGAATTTCATCTAGAGTGCTAGAAGCAGTCGTGCCGCCTCCCAGCCCCTGGATTTGGCAAGCAGCTTTCAAAGCACACGCTTCGGCACCAGTTACATAAGGAAAGGTGTGAATGACTGGAGGAGAAAATGCCTGTTGGTTTTGCTCCCCGAGTGGTGTACAGATGCTCTGCTGCTTTGCTCCTGGGTGCCCAGCTCCTACGAGGGTAGTTCACTGCAGAGGGAGAAGAGAAACTATTTGAACTGGCACGCGCATCCGTGCAGGGAGCATTGTCTGTTCTCCCTCTGATGATTTTCCTTTCTCTGTCTCAGGGTGAAGACTGAGTGAGTGCATCTACCTTGCCCTGGAAAAAAAAAAAAAAAAAAAAAAGAAGAAATCATAAAGCACTAGAGGAGGCCGGGAAATTTTCTTGTTTATGGATGAGCAAGTTTCTCTCCCAACGGAACCTCCTGCCAGCAGAAATCTCTCCCATTTTTTTCCATTTTTTTTTTTTTTTTTTTTAGGATGCATTATGTAAGTCCCTACTCGCATTGGACTAACTGACTTCCTCTTAAACAATTTATGTACTCCTCCTATTCCTCACAGGCCGGCTCGCTCCTCCAGCGAGGCTCACCACGCAGGACCTGCCACTGGCACACAGTACAGACTGAACACGAGCACGGCGCTTGAAGCGTTAGGCCTGCTCGCTTCCCTCTGTGAAGCGCAGAAGCAAGAGAACAAAATCCTTGAGGAGCAGAGAGTCCCTTCAGCTCAACGGGCCTGACATTCAGCATCTTCCCCTCCTGCAAGGCACACTCCTGCCTCTCCCCAAAAACCTTACCACATCAGTCCTGAGTGAGAGCTTTTAGCATCCGACTACTCTTGTTACCAACCTAAGTATCTCCTTACAAATCTGTTTATTAGCTGGTGAAAAACATGAAATTAAGGGGCACCTTAGTCCTGGTTTGTTTTCTCATCGCTCGGGAGCACAGTGAGGCTCTTGGGCTAGGGCAGGGGTGAAGGCACCGATGCTGGGGTTTCTGCTTGAGGGACAACCAGGTAGCACCCTTCCACTCTCCTTTTCAAGCCACCTTCACCGGCTACAGAGGCAAACTAAGAGCTGGGAGGCAAGGGGCATGCAAGGCACACCACACATATCACTGAGAAGGCACAGCCACCTTCTTCAGCTGGTCTGGTGCCCTGGATCACAGCAATAAACACCCAAACACTGGTTTTGAGCTATTTATTGAAGACTTCAGGTGACAGCACAGCAGGTTAGTTTTTTGAATCATGCCACAAGAATGTTAAAAACAGGAATTGAGCTGTATGTTTCCCCCCCTGCCGCTTACTGGAGAGGGACACCAAAAAAAAAGGCAAAACCAAACAAACTTCACTTCAAGCCCTTGCCTTTGCTTACTGGAGCTGAACAGGATGGTGCCGTAGGTAACGGGAACTCAGAAGCGTTCGTACCGTGGTGCTGCTCAAGGCACAAATCTTGCCAGGCAAACCACGGAGCTGATTCTGCCAGTGGCATCTCCGGGGCTTAGTCCCAAACACAGGGCTAGTTCTTCAAAGAGAAACAGAGCACCTTCATTTTCAGCCACGGGTCTGTTAGATGCCCGGTCACCTCTGATATGGGGTGTAGGGAACTGCAGGGCTTCAGTTTCAACTCGCAGAGTCAGTCACACGCCGGTGTATTTTGCACCAGGTTTCCCTCTCCCTGCTCCCCACACGGCTACACCACGCTCCCGCCCGGCAGAGGAAGATGCAGTAGGGAGCAGTTAGGGAGGAGGAAAACATTCTGGGGCTGAGAAAGCTGCGAACTTGTCCGTGTGTGTCATCCCCCCCTCCCCAGCCATCAAATAAAAAAAGACCCATTTGGCTTCCGAACAAGCGTGAAAGCAGCTCTGGTAAATTCGGGCATTCTTCCTTTCTTTCCAGCGTGTCTGGGCACCCTGGACTCACCCAGTCTGTGCGGGGCACAGAGGGGGCTGGTTCTTCTCACGGAAGAGCAGATGCTCCTCCAGGACCCAGAGGGAGAAGTGACAAACGAGCACAGGCAGGAGAGACAGGGACAGGTAAAATTTCTCCGTGAGAGACTTTATCTGTTGCTCTGCCTTCCGTGCAATTAAACTACTTACTGGCCAGAGTGCTGCTGAGTCTTTCCGATCGAGCCTTTACAACGGTCCAGGGCCACGCAGGAGCAGCCCAAGCAGGAGGGAGAACACCTGAGCCCTTTCAGGGGACCTCGACAGGCTGCAGTGAATCCTAGATGGTTATTATGAGCTTAAGCTGCTGATAAAGCTGCGCTTCAAAAAAGACCCTTTCCAACTACCCAGCTTCTTCACCGGCCCCCAAAAAAATCGCAAGAAAGAAGTTTATAGAAGCAATCTGCTTCGTCACTTCCTCCATTTCTAGTGAGGGCCACCCTGGGTGGCCTTCCTGCTCCCTGGGACCACGAAGTCAGAGTCCCCCCGCGTGGCATCACAGCCCGGTCGTGCAAAGCGGCTCTGCCAGCGCCCAGCCGGGGCCAGGGCTCCGACAGAGCCCCGGCACGAGGAGTGGAAAGAGGCGAGCAAAGGTGAGGGGCAGGATGGGAAGCAAAACGACGACGAAGAAGGCAAACGGGGCTCGTTTCTGCTTTTTGTTTAACAGGCTGGAGTCTCTCTTTAAAGGTGACTCATGCAGGGCAATACGAGGCAGAGTTTCTTCTGTTAACACACCCTTGGCAATAGCAGTTCAGTTAGTCACTGACTGGGTATCAAGACGTCACCGGCTGGGATGAAGCGTCTCCTTAACTTGGTACGGAGTCCACCAGCACTTATTTACTTTGGAGAAGAGCGGGAGGAGGAGAGAGGGGGCCCCGCCATCCCCCCGCTGCAACTTCAGCGCCGGCTCTCCGCAGCCCGCTCCCCTCATCTCTGCTCCCGAGGGGCCGGCCGAGGAGCCTTAAATCCCGTGGGGCGCGGGCAATGGCAGGGTGCTCCCGGCTGCCGGGCCGGGGAGCCGTTGTGGGGGGGGTGGGGGGTGACTCCTTCGCGGGCCGGGGCCCCTCACCCGGGTGGCGAGGAGGGGCCGCAGGCGTCGTGGCGTCGAGGCGGCGGCACAGCGATGTCCGAGGAGCAGGTTAGCCGCTGTCACACGCACAGTGGAGTCGCCGAGAGCACAATGTGCGTTAGTCAGTGGCTCACCTGCTCCTGGAGGGTGAGGGGGGGGTACGTGTGTGTGTGGGGGGGGGGGGGGGGGGGGGTTGAGGGGGCGGCGGGGCCCCACCTGCAGCACAAGGAGACACCGGCCAGCGCGGGGAAGGGGTCGCGGCGCTCCCGGGCTCCGCGGCGCCCGGCGGGGGGGGGGGGGGGGGGACGACGGACATCCCGGCGCACCCACCCACCCGTGAGAAAGGCTCCCCCCAGGGCGCTCCGGTCCCGGCCCGGCCCGGCCGCCGCTCACCTGCGCTCCCGCTGCCGCCGCCGCCGCCAACTTCTGCCTCTGCCGCGGACCCGGCCCACGCCGCGCGCCGCGGCCCCCCGCCCCGCCCACCCCCGCCTCGCCCGCCAATAGCGGCGCGGCCCGGCCGCCCGCCGGCCCCGCCCCCGCGCGGAAGCGCCCAATGGCTGGCGGCCCTGGGCGGGGCGGGGCGGGCCGGGGCGCGGGGGGCGGCCCCCCCCGCCGGCCGTGACAGCGGCGGGCGCGGCGCGTTCGCTTCTGCACGTCGCTGCTGCGGGGAGGAACCATTTGTACCTGTTGAACCGCCGCCCGCCTCCCGCTCTGCCCGCCCCGCCGGCCCCGCGCTCCCTTCCCCGCCCTCGCCGCCTCGCCTCACGCCGGCGCCCGCTGCCGGCGCACCCCCTCGCCCTGCCGCCGCCCGCGGGGACCCCCGTCCCGCCGGCAGCCCCGCCGCACACCCCCCCACACTTCTCCCCTCTCCCCTACCCCTCCGCTCCCTGCCCTCCCCGCCGCAGCCCAGCCCGTGGTACGGTCCGCCGGGGCCGTGCCATCAGGGCAGTGTCGGGGCGCACGTAGGCGGGTGCGGCGGGGGGGGGGGGGGGGGGGGGGGCGGGATCCCGCCATTCCCCCCCCCCAGTGTTCTGTGAAATTTCACGTTCTTATATCAGAGTGGGATTCTTTTATATTTGTTTTTTTTTTTGTTGTTGTTGTTTTTTTTGTGGGTTTTTTTTTTGGCTGTTGTGAGTATGGCAAACCCCTGTGGCCCTGTCAGCGCTGGGCGGGTGGGGACGGTCCCAGGGGTCCCTCAGCGTGGAGCACCCCACTGCCCTCTGCCTTCTAGCAGTTTCTTTCTGCCCCCCCCCCCCCCCAAAAAAAAAAAACGGGGGTAGCCTGGATGTTCTCCACAAAACCTTCTCAGCCGGAGAGCTTGCTCTCACCCATCCGCCAAGCCGGCAATTTTAGGGTGCTTCAAGGAGGATTTGGCTAAGCAGCAAAGAGAGCGTGTCCCGGCTGGGCACAGCACCGTGCTGGGGGGCGAGGGGCCGTGTCTGGGGACACGCAGCCCAGCATGGAGCCGGCACGCTGGCGGCCGCCCGCCGCCCTCACGCACAACCAGAGCGGGCCCAGGGGAGCGAGCGCATTCGGTGGGACCCCCGCCTCATCCACGCTGCCGACACTCGGGGGGGAAAAAGAAATGTTTTCAGCGCAAACGTGGCCGCTGACCCAAGAGCGGCCTGACGCCACGCTGAACTGAAAACGCGCGCACGCCTAGCCGGGGCCACCAGCTCCGCATCCCTCCGGAAAACCTCCTTGGCATCAGCTCCCACGGGCGTTTTGCGGCCCGCTGCAAGCTGTGGCGCGAGATGTGGAAGCGGCGCCCAGCACGGGGTCCCAGATAGCTGGTGGCGATTCCCCACCGAAAGGATTTCCCTACGTCTTTTGCCGGAGTGGGTCATCCACGGCTCTGTTCTTCCCTCGCCGGCGGGGAGGGTGGGTGGACAGCCCGCACAATGACCGCCTCTGTGGTCGGTTTGGCGTGCGTGCGTGCTGTGTGGGGTTTTTTTTTTGTTGTTGTTGTTTTCACCCAGCAGCCGTCGAGGAAAAAGTCACGTATTTTACTTCTTCCCCAGCCCAGGGCTCGCGCCGGGGTTGGAGAGCAATCAGCCGTAGCACAGCGCTAGCCCCCGCACCCACCAGGGTGAGCCAACACAGAAATTGAGGCCCAGCTGTGGAAAATAACTCACTTTGTTTAAAAACAGGTGCTTGGTGTGGAGGGATGTGGCTGGGTGCTGCCCCAAACACCTCGCGGGCAGCATGGCTCGCTCCTGCTGGGCAAGTGCCATCAGCAGCTGCCCCTCGTCTCTTCTTCCAGGCGGGGCCTTGAATGTCTGGGTTTATTTAAAATAAATTAAAAATAAAGGTTTCACCGGACAGTAAGCACGCTGGGCAGGAGCGTATTCCAGAGCTGGCCGCTGCAGCGGCTGTTGCGGAGTGGGGCTCCCAGGGTGGGCTGCCATCGCCCTGACAAGACCCTGGGGTTCACGCCCCACGGGTGGGTGCTAGTCGCCCTCAGCCCCCGGGGTTCGCACCCCACGGGTGGGTGCCGCTCGCCCTCAGCCCCCGGGGTTCGCGCCCCACGGGTGGGTGCCGCTCGCCCTCAGCCCCCGGGGTTCGCGCCCCACGGGTGGGTGCCGCTGGCCCTCAGCCCCCTCTCCCGGCGAGCCCACGGCTCACCCCTTCATTTTCCAGCGTGAAATTTGCCGCGGCCCGCGCCGGCGCCGCTCCCCACGGCGTGCGTGGCGAGGGGGACCCGCGCCCCTGGGCGCTGCCAGGCACCCTAGCAATTAATACTCAATTAAAAACGGTGCCCTGAACAGGGCAGATCCTGCCTTTCCACACGCGAGGCGCCTTGTGTTCCCTGGCTTGGGGTTTCGCCCCCACTCTCCCCCTCTCTCCCAAGGTCTTGAGTGGGCAGGCAGCGGCGGGGCTGGTGCAGGTTTTGCTCCGCGTTTCCAGGAAAAAGACCTCGTTTTCTTCTCTCTCCCCCACCCCCCCCCCCCGCCCCTCCCCGATTCCTGACAATGACCCGAGTGTCTACGGGGACGCGCGCGTTAGCTGCGGGTGGCGAAGGGCGGGACACCCCCACCCCCCCCACGGAGGAACGGGCACATCTGGGTTGGGACCAGCCGCGCGTAGCCGCAAGGGTTAAAAAAGAAAAATAAACAAATAGCCACGAACAAATACCCTCCCCCGCCGAAGGTTCAGCCCCGCGGCCGCTCTCCCCCTCCCCCGAATGGTTCGCTCCTTCCCCCCCCCTCCCCCCCCCGCCGCAGGCGCGCGTAGTGGTTCATTCCCGCGGCGGCTCCCGTTGGCGCCGTCGTGACCCGGAAAACGTTCCTGCACCGCTTCCGGGGTCAGGGGCTCCCCGGTGCGGCGGCGGGGCCCGGGGATGTGAGCGCCGGGGCCTGCTCCTCGCGTGAGTGCCGGGGGCGGAGGGGGGGGGGGGGAAAGCCCGTTATCCTCCGCGGGGGCAGCGGGAGATGCGGCGGGGGCGGCTTCCGCCCGTCCGGGGCCGGGTTTCTCGGGGGAGTTGGGGAGGGCCGGGCCCGCCGCCGCCGCCGCCGCACGGGCACCGAATAAACTAAAACACTTCATCGGGGCCCGCTCCCCGCTGTTGGCGGCGCCCGCCCGAGCGCCACCGAGGAAGTTGGGAGCTCGCAGCGCAGCCAGCGCACTTCCCGGCTGGCCGCCGGCGACGGGGCTTCCCGCCGAGCGCTTTGGGTTCGTCGGTAACGCGCTTCAGCTTCTTGCAAAAAAGCGTCTTCGGGCTTCAAAACCTCGGCTTGAGGGCCCCGTGCGCACTGGCCGACCTTTAAGCTGGGTGGCTGGCACCCAGTGTCCGGTAGCAGTGGGGCGGCGGGTGCTTTTTGTAGTTTCAGTGGCCGGTTTTCCAGCTGGCGGTTGTGCGGCTGCATCGCTGGTGTGCTACAGAGGTATCGGCCGTGTGATTCCCTCTCTTGAAGCTCAGTAGGGCTTGCTACCTCTTGTTACGGCTGTGCACAAAATAATTTAAAAAATCATAATGCAGGAGGGTTTCTTTGTTTTTTTGAGGTTTGGTTTTGTTTTTTTCCCTAGCCGTCCCCAGCAGGGAAAGCTGTAGTTAGAGGTGGGACTGGTGTGGAAGCCTGATGGTGGCAGGGAGCTTGCTGGTAAGGGCTCCTCTTCCTGAGAAAAGAAGCCTATTAATACAGAGAACGATGTGCCGAGTTGGAAGGTGTTTGGTTCACAGCTGGAAGTGGAGCCAGTGGCTTTAGGGGATTGCGTAGAGCTCGGCTGCTGCTTGGAATCCAGAGGCACGAAACGCCCCGCTGCTCCCCTGGGGAAGACTCCACGCTTCAAAAGTGTGTTCAAGAAGCCTGGGCCTTGCTGCGTCTGCATTACAGTCTCCCCGAAGAGTGCGGGGTCAGCTCCTGGGGAAGCTTGGGTGGAGGGTTTTGGTCCTGGAATTTAGCGTGGTTCAATTCAGGGCAGGGCCAGGGTGGGGGAAAGATAAGCGCTTCCTTACCTACCCCGGGATTAATTTTCCATGCCTTATCTGTTAGGTTCTTAGGCACTTCCACTATTTAAATTGTTGCATGGGCAGTTCGCATAGCGGTATTTAAGAGTTAATCTTTTTGTAACTTAAACAGGGGAAAGTTGGATCTAAATTTAGATTTAGAGGGCTTTTTTAAAGCTCCCTGTACATGCTGGATTGGCACCGTGAGTCTCCAGGCTGTAGGAGTCTCTTGTTAATCTGAATACTTTCCTGCCTAGTTCCTCTTACTTTTACCTTTGGAATGTGCTGGTGGCAGATACTAGTCACACCATGTCCAGATGTTTTTCAACTGAGTACAACCATGATTTTTACAACTCTCTTTTTTTTTTTTTTCCTCTTTTCTTTCAATGTAGCGTATGAAATTGGAAACAAAGCCAAATGCTGTTGGATGGGTGACATTGGTTTTCCAGAGGGAATTGAATTGTTCGGTTGATTTGGGGGGGACAAAAAAAAAAAAAAAAAACCAAACCAACAAATAAAGCAGGTGTGCCAGCGAGAACTGAAAGCTCACAGATTTGAATACTTAGTAGACTTAAATTTGGTTATAAGTGCTCTTTGGAACGTGACTGCTCAATAATTGCCCATTAAATTAGATCAGCATTCAAAACCACCCTGTGAGAAAATCCAGCTGACTTGTTTTCTTTGCCTGTGTAGAATCCCGAATGTTACCCAAGCAGGTTAAAATAAATGCCCTGTATAGTAGCTCTTCTGTTTCTAAAAACTAGAAACTGCTGTAAGAAGTTGGTGCTGGAGGAAATCAGCTGGTGCTGGAAAGGGAGGTGTGTATGACTGGAAGAGTCGCTGGCTGTTGGCGGCTCCGTCAGCTTCATGTCAGAATGAGATGGAGCTCGAGGGTGTTTTGCAGGTGTCAGATGGTTAGAAACCTGCACTTGCCTTCTAGCTGGAACTTACTCAAACTACTTTAAAATACTGATTT